CCTCCTCAGTTTCAGCAAGCAAGGTTGTGTCATCTGCATAACGGAGATTGTTGATAGATCTTCCACCAATCCTGATTCTTAGCTGTGGCTTGGTGTGTGCTGCTGTCTTGTGTGTCAGAGGATGCTCCAATCAGTATGCCAGGATTCTATCCTACAGATGCCAGTAACACGTTTCCCTAATTATAAAGTTGCGTGTTTTATAGTATTACCAGAAGTCTCCTATAGGACAAAATGGCCCTAGTGAGAAGAACTGAAGAATATAAACCAACAAACAATATTTATCATGGAAATAATACTATTTTACATTAAAAAGATTTATAAACTCAGACTCATAGGAGATTTCTCATCTTCTGTGGAGCTATTGGTGGATTTGAACTGCCAGAAAGATGCAGCCTTTGGGTTAACAGCACAATTCCTACAGACTCCATCACCAGAGTATACCCAGATATTAATCCAATCCTTGTTTTCAACTTTTAGTTTTTTCTTAGTTAGCATAGGAATGAGCTCTCACATATTAAACATATCACGAGTTTATTTTGAAATGGAAAGGCTGGCATACATTAAATACAAGAACTCCAAAAAGTATAGGAGCACCCTTTGTAACCCAGTGAGAGTTCTAGCTCTCAGGATGGGGGGGTAGGTGGAATTTACCTTTGTAGGGGCTTGAAGTTTGAATATCTTAACTTACTTATTGACACGTCATTACAATGAATCTATCTTGGAAACTTTTCTCTCTGAATCATTCTATACCAAGATACACTGGGGCTTCTGAAAAAAATTAATTAAGAATTTAACATGTGTCATGTACAATTCTCAAAGAAAAACACCTTCTAAATGCGATATTACCCATCACCCTCTAACCATCCTCCATGATCATGACCCACATCTGTTCCCTTTAATTTTGTGTAGGAAAAAAAGAAAATATCACCAATGAGAAGTCTTCTCCTTATAGGCCAGGCAAATATATTTGTAGGAACTCAAAGAAAATATTTAATCAGGGCTTTTCTTTGAAATTCAAGTCAAACTGAGGAATAGTATAATTTTTACTAGTTTATTTTACTGTTGTAGAGAATATACACAGCAAAACGTATGATACAATAGTTTCAACATGGACCATGTGGTGACATTATGTTAAGTTGCACTAACTTTTTTAAGTTCTCAACTTCTGTTTCTTCATCATGAAGCAGTACCACTTTTGATCCCTCTCCATTGTATCTCCTCAGGTGACACAGAACGATATGATAATGGCTGAAAGGCTTTTTGGAATCCTAGCACACGTGGCATCTTCTGAGTTACCCCAGTACCGTATGATTTCAATTCTGGGTGATGCCAGGTAATTTTAATTTCTCTAGTTTTTATAGGATTACTATCACACTAGAAAAAGTTAATAAAACCCACACATTCCTTAACTGTACTATTTATTCATTCTACAAGCATTTATCCCAGGTTAATTTTTTAGCTAGCATTATTCAAAATATTGAAAATATAAAGATGAATAAGGCAAAGGCCCTGTTTTAATGCAGCTTATAATCTAGTTATATAAATTTATATGGAAGCAGTTAACTGACAATGTTTCAGCTACTATAAGAGAGGACTATGAGAAAATAGGAGACTGTAACTCACATTTTTTAAGATCATCTGGGACTACCTTGCAAAAGAATTGGCCTTTTATCTAGTTCCTCAGGAATGAGCAGAAGTGAGGGGGGAGGTTCTGCAGAGTAATGGGGCACTGTAAGTAGTTAAGGATAACTGGAACATAGAATGACAAAAAAAAGTAAAAGGAAAGTTGAAAGTTTGGTCATGGTCTGATCTTGAAGAGCCTTGCAGTTATATAAAAAGATGAAAATTTGTCCTTTATCATTAAACACAACAATTACATGATTACATGTATGTTCTAGTAAGGCTCTATTTGAGCAGAAAGTAATGAAGGAATAGAAACCAAACAAGAGGCTAGTCTATAGTCCAGAAGTGAGATTATGAAAACTTCAGCTAAAACAATAAAAATAGAAAAGGGAAAATTGGAAAATACGTAGAAACTGTATTTGACCAAACACATTTACTGTCAGATAAACTACATATGGATGAAGGGAGAAAAGCCAAGTATGATACATTATTCATGAATCATTGCTAGATAAAAATTCACTCTGGCAAACAGTCTCATAAGCAGTCCCATGGTAGACAAGTTTCAGCAGATGAGAAAGAAAGACCTGACACATTACTTAAAAGACTAGGCAGCGCAAACTTCTGATGGCAGCAGAACATTGTCTTAAGTAGTGCCAGAAGACAAATTCCTCAGGCTGGATGACATTCAAAATAAAAGTGAAGCACTGCCCTCTCCAGATAGTCAGCCTTATTGCTGTAGATGGAGTAAAGCTCCCAGGGCTTTCATTTGTTGATGTGGCACAACTCAAAATGAGGGGGAAAAAATAGCTGCAAACGTCTATTAGTAATTGGACCATGGAATATGTAAGGTATGAATCAAGAAAAATTGGAAGAAACAAACCACTATCAAACTTAGAACTTAAAACAAGAAGCATTTCTTTTCCCCATGAATCCACAGGTCAGCTGGGTGGTTTTCTTACCATCAGTTGGGATCCATGCATCTGCACTTACCTGTGGGGTGGGGTGGGTAGGGAGCTCTGCTGAACTAGTCTTGGCTCTCTCAATTGTTTCTGTAACATTTTTAAATTGTGATTTGAGTTCCCAAAGCATCTTGTTTTTCAGACATTCACTCATGCACATTTTGTTCTCTAACAGTAATTGCAATATCCATGGTGTCTAATCATGCATTCATTCCATGTTGGTTTTCCTTTCAGCTGTACTAATAAGTATGTCCTGTTTTATCTCTCCTTCTTCCTGGCAGCTACTAGAATGATGCTTTCTATGTGTAAACCATTCTTTAGCTTTTTATAATTGTGATCTTATGCAATATTTGTACTTTTGTGACTTGTTTTAGGGTTGTCTCTTTGATTTTCTAAAAAGGCCTAAGCTGGAACAACTTGTCTGTGCTCAGTATCATCTCTCATACTCCAGAAATCAGGTCAAAGAAACAGAAGAAACATACAAAGCCTCTTGAGGACTAGGCTAAAAGCTGACACATCGTACTTCACTGACATCTTGGCTGAAGCAAGTCATGATTCTCAAGGTGGAGACGTAGGCTTTTCTTAAATGCAGAATTATAATACAAAGGGCATAGATTCAAGAAAGCTATTAAACAGGACCATTAGTGCAGTCATTCAGCCTCTCACAAGTGTCAGCAGACTCTGAAGGACTAAAATGCATGGGCCATGTCCTCTGTCCACAGTGAAATTTAGTTTTAACTCATGTACAGAAGGATAAGTGAGAAATGCTCATGTATTTTAAAATTAAGACATTTATTTCTAAATAACTCATGTTATTGTTGTTGCTATGTGCCACTGAGTTGCCTGCAACTCATAGCAAACCTATGTACAATAGTCCAAACCCTGCTCTATTCCGTGCCAGTTTTATTGTCTCTGACACACCTGCCCTTATTATCCCAATCACTGAAGGTTTTTAAAAAAATTCATAATGTAATTTGAATTGAAATACCATGCAAATGCATTTTAAATTATAACTCTAATCAATATCACTGAATTGTTTTTTTTCTATAATTATATTTTATTAATTTTCATAAACATTTACAGAGACTTTGGGCTTCCACTCATTCATTGCTGCACCATTCTCTCCACCCTCCTCCCAGTTTGTTCTTGTCCAAATGCCACTGAATTGTGTATGTAAAAATGTATTATATGGGGTTGCTGGCACTCTGGAAGCTGCAACGACAGTGCAGACATGGCCAAGTCCAAGAACAACACCACACACAACGAGTCCCGAAAATGGCACAGAAATGGTATCAAGAAACCAAGATCGCAACAATATGAGTCTCTTAAAGGGGTAGACCCCAAATTCCTGAGGAACATGCGCTTTGCCAAGATGCACAACAACAAGGGCCTGAAGAAGATGCAGGCCAACAATGCCAAGGCCATGGATGAACGTGCCGAGGCTGTGAAGGCTCTTGTTTCCGGCCCAAAGAGGTCAAGCCCAGGATCCCAAGGGGTGTCAACCGCAACCTCAGCCGACTCATCTACATCACCCATCCCAGGCTTGGGAAGCGTGCTCGGGCCCTCATTGCCAAGGGGCTCAGGCTTAACCAGCCAAAATCCAAAGCCAAGGCTGACAGTAAGGCTGAAGCTCCAGTAAAGTCCTCAACTCAGGCACCAGCTAAGGCCTCAACCCAGCCTCCTGCTCCAAGTCAGGCTCCTAAAGGTGCCCAGACCCCTGCAAAGGCTCCATAATTGAGTTCTCCATCTGAGGACAGAAGGACTGGTGTGACCCCCTGGGCTGCTGCCATCTGCATGGGGCTGGTGTCCTCCTGTGTTATTTGTACAAATATATCCTAAAGCCGGGGGGGGGCGGGGGGAGTGTTATATGTATTTTCACAATTTAAAAAAAAACGAAAGCTTGTGGGATTAATGCACAGCAATATGGAAATCTCTCAGCCTTTAAATGGATATTCAGGTTTCTTTGCTATCTGAAAATAGCGTGTTCCCATAAATGACGCCAGACAGGATGATGTAAAGGGGAGCAGCAATCACCATGAATTTATCTGGGAAAATCTGTGAGCGTACCCAGAATAAAAAAATAACCTGAAAAACCATACCAAATAGCACATAAAACTTAAAATACCATGTAGATGTAGTAAAAGAAGAATTCTGTAATTGCACAGCCTTTGTACAGTGGAAATATTGTATGTACAGTGTAGTTGCCAGACAGGGAGCTTGGCCATACCAAATCTCACTGTTCAGGATATATACTGACTGCCTCAGCGCAAACACTCAGCCATAGATTCAATTTTCACCTTTTTTTCCCCTTGAAAATTAAAATCTTCTTTGGTTAACTTTGTATTTTTCATTTTTATTCTTACATATGTTGAGTTGAAACAGACTCATTGCTCACCTTCTAGCAGGTTCTCTGAGGCTGTAAATTGCACAGGAGAAAATTGTTCATCTTTCTCCCTCAGAACTGCTGGTGAATTTGAACCCCAGAGAAGGTGGTCTTTGGGTTAGGAGTGTAACTCTGCCCACAGCATATGCCACTGGAGTTCTCCCTGCATTTCTTTTCCTTAACAGATAGAGCTCCTAATATAGGTTCTTTGTAAAAATAAAGTGACATAAAGCAAACTTTTTAATGCATGATATATCAGTATTAGGCAAGAATAAAAAGTGAAGATGAGTGAACTAAACATGTGTCAAAAAATTAGGGGGAAAAACCAAATAATTCTTAGGAATGTAGAAGGAAAGAAATAATGATATTAAAGCAAAATGGATGAAAAGTTGGTGATTTGAAATCTTACTAAAAGTTATATATGCATTGTTTGTAATTTAAAAATTAGTAAAGAAATGCAAGATCTATATTTTTTTCACAAGTGTGGAAAAAATGGCACTCTAAATATCTAGTTTAAAGAATTGATTAGGTAATTTTATTAATACATTAAAATTATAAGTTTTTATTAATGGAAAATTCTTCATGTATTAAGTAAAAACATTATACAATTTCTCAAAAAGTTGGAGATAGAAATACCATTTGACCCAGCAGTTCTACTACTGGGAATATACCCTAAAGAAACCAAAGCCACAACTCAAATAGATGTATGCACACCCATGTTTATTGCTGCATTATTCACAATAGCAAAGGGATGGAAGCAACCCAAGTGTCCATTAACAAATGAATGAATAGAAAAATCATGGTACATTCACGCAATGATATATTAGGCAGCACTGAAAAACAATGAACTCGTAAAACATTACATAGCATGGGTAAGCCTGGAGAACATTATGCTGAGTGAAATCTCTCAGTCACAAAAGAACAAATACTACATAACACCACTATTATAAAATAGGACTAACATGAAGGGTTGGGCAGAGAATAGGAAAAGAATGGATAGATAATGAGCATTGGATTGGAACAGATGAGGAAAAGAATGATCCGAAAGGAATATATGGTTATTCATTATGTGTATGACAACAGTTGTGGACAAGAGGTGCATTGCAAAATGGACTGGGAGTGGAGGGGATAGAAAAGAGAGGGAAGAAAATGTGCTAGAAT